CGGCGGCCTGAGGCCCGGGGCCCGGCCGACGACCAGCGGGAAGGCCGGGCCGGGCCGCGGTGGGGCCCACGGGAGCCGGGGCGCTCGGGTCTCGGCCGGAGCAGCCGGGCCGGGGCGGGGTGGACGCGAGGGTCCTGAACGGACGGAGCCTGCCATTCTCAGGAGCCCAGGCTTTTGGCTCCAGGGACTTCGCCGCCGGAACCCACGCGAGCACGGTTGCGGGAAAGGAGCCGCGAGTTTCGTCGGGTCGTCCCCCCGCCTGGGCACGGATCGGTGTTGGGTGTGCGGTCGTGAACCTCTCCCCACTGTGTCGAAGCCGCGTGCTTAGCTGCCATCGTGCATCTCCAAAATGAAAGCGAAGGACTGCCACGGGCCTACTGGCTTGAAGCTTGTGCTTGAAGCCCATTTGGACTATACGTTTCTTTAAAGCAGGGGACGAAACCGCAGTCCTTCCGAAAGGGAGCTTCGTAGCGTGGGAATAGTTTTAAGTCTTTTCTCCAGACACTGGTTTGCTGTCTGTTCAGGCAAGTTAACTTTCTGAGGTGTAATCTTTAGCAGGGAAAAAAAGGTGGTGGTGTGCTTCTCCTCGTGAGGTAGTTGCCATCCCAGATTTTAAAACGCACCGAATTTTTAACTTTTAGGTTTTGACTCTTAGGCCTTCAGACTCTGACTTTGGATTTTAAGGAACCTGATAGCTATTAACCCTTCACTCATTTTTATTTTGTTAAAAATCAAGTTTTATGTGTTATCTCATGACTTAGGCAAGAGTCACGTTGTTTTACGTCTTTGCAAAGCTTTTTAATGCCTACTAGTTTAACACAAGACAGATTCCTGAATCTATTTTTGCAGGCGGTCTTGTGATATCATACTACATAATCACTACTGGAAAGCACTGTACATCATACTTTTTTCTTTTTAAAAAACATGACATCCCATCCTGTTTTCAGCATGTAAGTACAATCAGGATATTGTGCAAGACAAACAAAATGTGAATGATTCGTGTATTTTTAGGGAGAGGGCTTTAACTTTAAAAGATGGGGATTTAGGGACCTCAGCATTACAGAAGTCATAATTCACTGATAGTCTTGAAGTCTCAGGAATACTTGGAAATAGTCAACGTGACTAGACTTTTTAAAGTTCCGGTTTGTATGTTTAATGATGTACACAGACAATAAAGTGGATTTACAAGCACAGTAGATATGCTTGAAAAGACCTCCGTGTAAATGTCTTTTTCAAGAGCACACTTGCCCCGAAGGTGCTTCAGACTCCAGTGGAAATGAGAGCTTTGCTGAACCAGCATGAGAAGTAGGCATATATAATTTGCATATATAAGCTCTTAGCCTCTCTCCGTTTTGAGTCAGTCTCTGTTTCCTAAGTTTGGGTGATTAATGTGTAAAATTTCAAGATGAGTTTGGGCTTAATGGTTTTGGAAGGAAGCTGAGTTTCCAGTGGTTTCTTGTGACCTCTAGTCTGATTCTGTCAGTTGGCCTTTCTCTGCTGTGCCATCAACAGGAAGCATCTGGCCATTCTTCATGTAATTGGCAGAAAGTGCCAGGTGCATTTTTAATGTTTGCTATTCATAAAACAACAGAGCTGGGCTGGGTGGTGTTTACCTTTAATCCCAGAATTTGGGAGGTAGAGGTAGGCTTATCTGAGTTCAAGGCCAGTCTGATCTACAAAGCAAGTTCAGGACAGCTAGCTTGTTACACAGGAAACTGTCTCAACACCCACCTCTTCCCCCCAGAAAAAGACAGGATCATATTTTTACTTGGTTTTGATTGTTTGTTTTTTATCTTCTTCAGGTATAGGTAAGGCAAACATTACAAACTCAAAATTTGTCATGTGAAATTTTAAGTCAAAAATTCATTTTTGAGGGAACTCAAGTTTCTTGCAAGTTGTCTCATGCCACTAAATGCACTAACGGGGTCCAACCCTTATATCATTTGGAGACATTAGAGACTCATATCAAGTTCTTGGACATGTAGGAAATTGTTTATAGATTGACAAACATGATAATTTGACATGTAATCAACATGTAGTGATCAAATTAAAGTTAGCATTTCTGTCTCAACTTTTGTGTGTGTTGGGACCCTTTCAATTTCTTCACACTAGTTTATAAAATAAATAATTGCAAACTTTGTTCCTTAGAAGGCAGGTAGCTTTCCAGTGACCCCATGGTTTTTCAATGAAGAGTTAACACGTCTGTAAAATTATGTCCCAATTTTAGGTTAATTATAGTTGACATTTTACTTTTCTGAAGATTTTTTTTTTTATCCTTGTAAAAAGATAATTCTAGTGTCAAAAGAAATTAGAATTAGAGCCTATTTGTTCCCTCATAAATCAGCACTGTACTGTTGTCCAGAAAGGTTAGTGCATCTTGGGGCTTCGGATGTTTATGACATTGTTCTAGAGATGTAGGCTGGAAGTAATTTCTCCAAAGATAAATCTTGACTTTTCTTGATATAATATGTGAAGAATACCAGTTGAAGCATTGTTGATAACAAGAGCTGTTACTGATTCTTATGTGCCTGAGTTGTCTTATTTGTACCGTAGGGATTGTTGTAGTAATCAGTAAATGAGTTCGTATGTAAAGTGTTAGAGTGCTGCCTTAGAGCAGTGGTTCCTTCTCAGTTTGCAAGTCTCTAATACAGTTCCTCATGTGACCCCCCCCCAACCATAAAAGTATTTTGTTACTGTTTCTTAATTCTGCTAATGTTATGAATCCTACATACATGTGTTTTCTGCTGGTCTTAGGGAACCGCTGTGAAAGGGTTGTTTGATTCCCCAAAGGGGTTGTGACCTGTAGGTTGAGAACTGCTGCCTTAGTTAATAGATGAGTAAGTTTTAGGTTGTTTTGTTTTGTTTCTAGACAGGATCTCAATTTAGCCCCAAGTTGCCCCCAAAAACCTATGTAGTCCAAGCTGATCTTGAACTTGGATTAATTCCCTTGCTTCAGCCACTGAAATACTTGGATTACAGGCATGAGCCACCATGCCCAACCTAGTGTGCATAGTTATCACAGACTTTCAGCCGTACTATTCAGAATGCTTGCAATCGTTAATCTTGGAATTAGTTTATATGTATATATGCATATATGTAAATATATGTGCAAAGTAATAATGTTATATTATCTTTGGAAGGAGTCCAGTGCAGTGTCCCCTTTAAACGTGTATTTCAGCTGGAAGTTAAGTTTTCAGGCTAAGTGGTGTATACTAAATGTCCTGCTGCTGGTTGTGGTAAGGTTGTTTTTGTATTTATATTTATTTACTTATGTATGGGTGCAAGAGGATCTTGTTGGAGGATACAGGACAATTTGGGAACTGGTTCCCTCCTTTTAGATATGAGTCCAAGGATCAAACTCAGGATGGGCTTGGTGGCAAAGCTCTTTACCCTGGGGCTGGAGAGATGCCTGGTTGAGAGCACACTGTTTGTTCAGTAGATCAAGTTGAGTTCTTGGCATCCTTGTCGGACAGCCCACAGTTCTTACAATTTCTGTTCCCGGGGCTCTGACCCCACTCTTCTGCACACATGGGCATCAGATCTTCCTGTGCATCGCACATGTTAAAAACTCTACCTATCGAGCCAACTCTGCAGCCACTGTGATTCTGTTTTTAAATTATGCTAAGTCCACTGATCCTGTAATTCTACAATGCAGTTTTTCTAGAAGAATTTTGAGTATGTTTATTAAAGTTAGATGTTTAGTCTGGTTACACTAGAGAGGTAGGCTACTGATTATCTGGGAATATACTAGTGGTTCCTTAAAAGAAGTGAAGTGAATGGGGTACCATAATACCTCTTTTTAATATAACCTCCCATTTGGTAGATGTAGAAAATTGTTTAAGGCCATAAAATTACAATATTGGACACTAGACTTAGGTCAGTTTCTTTCAGGATGAAAACTGTTTGGTGTGTGTGGTGACACACCTTTAATTCCAACACTGAAGAGACAGAGTTCAAGGCCAGCCTGGACTACAGAGTGAGTTCTAGGACAGCCAGGGTTACTCAAAGAAACCTTGTCTCACCTCCCCCCAGAAAAAAACAAAAAACAAAAAACAAACAACCCCCCAAAAGAAACTGTTGGATGTGTAGCTGCTTAAATGCAGGTTATGTTTGTGACCTTGTGTCTATGGCACTTACATTCAGTTAGGAAGCATTTAGTGTGTAAGATATAAATGATATAGAAGTTTTCCTTTATATTCAAAATAACGTGAAATCTTTGATCTTTATTCATGTGACTGATGGCTTTCTCTCTAGTCTATCCTTTCCATTCATAGGGGGTTTCCCCC